TATAAATAGGCAGCAGATACACCGCATACTCAGGTTTTTTTTGAGAAGCTGAACCAGGGACCCGGCCGCTCAGCGGTGGTACAGCAGCCGTGGCGACAGTACGTGACGTCTCCGTTCACTCCTTCAGGGAACGAGGGTTGCTATACGTAACCGAGACGTTCCCATTCAGTCGACAAATTGGGAATCCCTACCAAAGCGCCATGGATGCTGCCCCTTCCAGCGTCCTATGCGAGCCGCCTGCACCCCTTTTTGGTGTAGGCCGGGGCTCGCAACAAGAAGGCCAGTCACTGTTGTCGTAGCACTACCCACTATCTATCCAGTGGGCCATCCTCTGCTTGGAGACAGCATTCCCCTTCTTGGGCACATAGCCGGGCCAGGGCCTCAGAATTACCTGGGAGTCAGCCGGCCCAAACTCTAGGCAGGATTCGTCAACCGAAAATACGTGCAGGTCACCTACCCTCTTGATGGAGGCCAATTCAATCAGGAGCAGAGTCTTCATTGAAAGAAACTTCAGCTCAACTGATTGCAAAGGCTCAAATGGGACCCGCTGTAGTGCTTCGAGCACCAGAGACAGGTCCCAAGAAGGTGTGGAGGGAGGTCGAGGAGGGTTCAACCTTCTCGCCCCCCTAAGGAACCTGATGACTAAGTCATGCTTCCCCACCGTTTTCCCCTCTACAAGGCCATGGTTAGTAGAAATAGCAGCGACATACACTTTAAGGGTGGAGGGAGACAGCCTTCACTCCAACCCTTGCTGCAAGAAGGAGAGCACGAGTCTGATCTGACATCTTCAGGGGTTCTCTCGATGAGAGGAACACCACTCGACGAACAGGTTCCACTTCAAGGCGTAAGCGTGTCTCGTAGACGTTGCTCGCGCCGAAGTGATGGTGGCCACTACCTCTTGGGGTAGGTCACCTAGAATCTCCACGTCCCGTCTAGGGACTAGACATGACGTTTCCAGAGGTCTGGATGAGGGTGCCACAGGGTGCCCTGTCTCTGAGTCAGTAGATCCATCCTCATAGGAATCTGCCAGGGAGGGGCTTTCACGAGGAGCATCAATTCCGGGAACCAGGTCCGGGTTGGCCAGTAGGGTACCACAAGCAGGACCTGCTCCTCGTCCTCCCTGACTTTGCACAGTGTCTGTGCGAGAAGGCTCACTGGGGGAAACGCATATTTGCGTAGGCCCCGAGGCCAGCTGTGTGCCAGTGCATCCAATCCGAGTGTTCCCTTGGTCAGGGAGTAGAACAACTGGCAGTGGGAGGTTTCTGGAGAGGCAAACAGGTCTATCTGAGTGACTCCGAAACGTCTCCAAATCAGCTGGACCATCCAGGGATGGAGTCTCCATTCTCCAGGGAGCTCATCTCGTGACAGCTCGTCGGCTGCACGGTTGTGCAGGCCCAGAATGTGAATGGCACGAAGCAACCTCAGATGCTTCTGACTCCAAAGAAGGAGGTGGCGGGCGAGTTGCAACATACAACGGGAGCGCAGACCACCTTGTTGGTTGATGTATGCAACGGTCGCAGTGTTGTCCGTACGGACCAGTACGTGCCTGCCTTGTAAGCAGCCTCTGAAACGGTTCAAGGCATATGCCACTGCAGTTGGGGGCCCGTCCATACCCCCGAGACTGCTTGCCCGTTGTACGTAACACCCCAGCCGGTGGTGAAGGCATCTGTGTGTGCTACAGTATGCCTCGAGACCTGTTCTAGGGGCACTCATGCCCAAAGAAACGTGAGGTCTGACCACGGGGTGAAGTCTTGGTGGCAGGCCGGTGTGACTTGGACCTGGTGAGTGCCGCGCTGCCACGCCCACCTCGGGACTCGGCTATGGAGCCAGTGCTGAAGCAGTCTGAAGAAACCGTATGAAGCAGCCCCAGCGGCGTGACTGCCACAGCAGCTGCCATATGCCCCAGGAGCCTCTGAAATCGTTTCAGTGGGACCGCCGTCCTGCCTTTGAATGAGTTCAAGCAGCTCAACACCGACTGAGCACGTTCCTCTGTGAGGCGTGCTGTCTGTTCGACCGAATCCAACTCCATACCGAGAAAAGAGATCCTCTGCTTCGGGGAGAGTTTGCTCTTTTCCCAGTTGACCCGAAGGCCCAACAGGCTGAGGTGCCTGAGCACCAAATCCCTGTGCTCGCACAACTGATCCCGAGACTGTGCTAGTATGAGCCAATCGTCGAGAAGTTGAGGATGCGAACACCCTGCTCTCTCAGGGGAACAAGAGCCCCGTCCGCAACTTTCGTGAAGACATGGGGGGACAGGGACAGCCCGAAGGGCAGGAATGCAGAAAATGTCTGTGGCACGGAAGGATTGAGACATGAAAGTACGCGTCCTTCAGGCCGATCACTGCAAACCAATCTCGGGGACGAATGCACCCGAAGATGCTTTCTGCGTTAACATCTTGAATGGTAGCCTGTGTTCTGGACCATCCACAACTCTCCGTGCCCTCTTGAGACCCAGAGATACAAGAAATGTATCTTTTGTTGAGTGTTTGGGTACCACCGACCGAGTGGTGAAATAAAACAAAACAAAAGATTCTCCGCCCGGCCCTCCTCCGGGGGAGGGAGTGGTGCATTTATCATCTCCAGAAGAGCAACTCCCTCCATCTCTGGGTCGCCCATCTCAGGGCCTCTTGCTCTTCCTCTTACCGCCAGGTTTGGCAGGGCCAAGACGGGCAGGGCGAATGCCCTGCGACAAGCCACGTCCTCTGAGAAAAACGATATCTTTGTTCTAGTATTCTATTAATGGACAAGGGGATCCGTTTAATAAAAAAATATATAGCCTATATAAATGGAACTTTATTAGCCAGAAAAGGGTAAATCTCCCATGTTGAACAACTTGTCTTTAAAAATCTGCATACAATAATTGTTCTCTCTGCTTCTTTTTGCAGGGCGACTTTGAAGATTCTGCATGAGGTTAGATTGTGGCCGGAACAAAATGAAATGAGTGGCTAACAACTGACCTCTTCCGCTGCACCACCACCACCAGCAACTTGTAGCATCTAACCAGTGCCTCTTCACCAGCCTGATACACAACGCACCCACATACACACAAATACCTAACAGAACACCATCAGACTGTAAGTTTGCCCAGCTTCAATTTATTATCTTTGTACAAACATTTCTCTCTGGTTGATTAATGCATAATATCAGGCTGTTGTCGTGCTTGTTTAGCAATCACTTGAGCGCCCTTTCTCTTTATTCTTATTGATGTATTTGGGTGAATCTTTAAAAAATCTGTAAAGAACAGGCCCGGGTCATATTTCAAATCGGAAAAAAATACAAAGCCTATTTTATAACCATCAACAAATCATATTTTTTTTACACTGTGACATTATTTACAGAAAAAAAAAAGCTCATTGTCAGTGGGAACAACGTATAATGTATTTGACATGATGTATATATTTTTTTTCACCATGTTCTGTCTAAATTCTAAATTCTGATTGGCTGGAATGTGTGTTGTGGAGGAGAAACTCACTCTAGACAAGCAATTACAAGCAACATTATCCCAGAGCTGTATTCTCGGTCATCTGACATCTGTAGTCATGTATACACACGTCATGCCGTGGTCAGAGGAAGGTTTAGCTATCGCCAGCCTTACACACACTCCACCTATGTTTATTACAGTAATGATAATATACTGAAAATCATCATTGAAAATAATCAGAATTATGTAAAGTCTCAAAAGTAAAATGGATGCATTACATAAATGAGAATTTGTGGGTGGGGGATGGGAATGCGCTTAATTGTCATGAAAATAATGTCATAACACTTAAAAATGATTGTGGTCCTAAAATATGATTCATTTTCTTTATGCAAAATATAAATCCTTTTTTTTTTGTTCTTTTGATTTTGAAGTTACATAGGTTAGATAAATTCGCACATCAACATTGTTGTGCTCTCAACGGACTAACATTCACACTTGCCTAACTGTCATCAAATTGTCTGCCAGTTCTCTTTCTTAAAGGGATACCCTTGTGAAAAAGAATTCAGCTTTTAGTATACTTTAGTATACTTGTAATGTTTTTGGACATTCAATTGAATGTTAATTGCAGTTGAAAATATATTATAATTTATATTTGCATTTAATGCAATTAGCTGAAGTTTAGAGTGTTTTTTTACTTTAAGTATCTATGAATATAATTTCATAATTACTTTTGATTGCCTTTGAAATGTGGTTATAGTGTACTGCCAAATATGCTGACCAGTATTTATGGTAAACTAAAATATATTTTAATAATAATATGTAATGTAAATTTCATTTAAAAAGATTTGTATTTATACGTTTGTAATGCTAAAAATGCAATTTAGTACTTTTAAAATATATTAACTTTAAATGTAATATTAAAAAGACACTACAGTTAATATTTTAAGTAATTTATATGTGCTTTAGTAAGTCAACACATCAAAATAAGTGCTCTTCTTTAAAGCACCACAAAACGTTTTTTCAAGCGTAATGATTTAAAATGTAACGAGAAACTTAGTCGTGAAAGGGTATTCTCTGAGTACACACATTTCATTAATATTATATTATCTGCAAATACAGTTTATTTGAAATATATACTATTAAGATATGACGCACGCTACAAGTGCACATTTAAAACAGTTAAGTGCGCTGCTTTTTCATAAGGGAACACGTTGCAGTGTCATGAACTACACAAAATACCCTATAGGACTTATAATAATAAAAAATAATAATAATAAAAAAAATGTATGCCTATTATTTATTTTAAAAAACCTATTTATATCATATTGTGTTGTACGTTTTAGGTCCAAAGTAATTTTGCATGCATAAAGTCTCGCATGGCACAGTCTTACTTAGAGTGCTATTTAGACATCACACACTTCAGTATCATTTAGCAGACTGACATCACACCGAAGGAAGACTTTAGCTGTCTCTTACTGTACTTGTGTACAGTACCACACTGGTCTAATATCACCGTTGTTCAGTGTTTAATGTATATTTTCCCTCTTGGTGAACAAGCTTAGGCACTGTGAGCAGCATAAACATAATGCGATACTTTGATTCATATCAATATTCCTAGTTCAAATAAATCATACTGCTGCAAAATCATCATCAGTCACTTGACTAACTTTGCAGATCTAAAGGTACACGACAATAGCTACATTTAGACATTTTCTAATCCAGATCAAACTAATTATTTTACAAACCATTCCAAATTTTGCACTACTATTCAGACTAATACTGAATTATACGTTTATTTTAGGAATTTAGAGCAAGACTGTCTTAAAACTTCTCCCTTCTTTTTTAGAGGCACTTGAAACTGATGTCATTATCAATCCTGAATCAAAAGCAGACCCCTCTTTAAGCTTGCCTTCAGGAAATCAAGCCCAAGACTTTTAGGAAAAACATAATATAATAATATCTTGTCTATTCGTCGATCAGCTTAATGTGTGGACCCCTCAACAACTTAAAGAGAACATTACCTATTCTCATCCCACTCAGACACTGTAAAAATCTGGGCTATACATGTATAAAATTGGAATCGGACATTAGAAATAAAGCAGGGAAATTTTATTAATATTATTATTATTTAACAGTGTAAGTTTCCAGGGTCTTGCTGCGTACCACGTACCACTTCATGAGAACTACTTGGCTAGACGGTTTCACACACACACACACAAAAAAACAGATTACTTTTTCATCAAGAGGTTTTAAAGTTTTACAGAAACATGTCTAGACACACATAAGTACATGGTTTTTCTTCTTCATTTTCTTGTACAACATTTTGCCTTGCTAACCTTAAAAAATGATGCATATTTCTTTGCGGTATCAAGCATGCAGTGTCAATCCTTTAAGTCTCAGAGGTTGCATACTTGAAATCTGCTGTTTGCTATGGATCCTAAATGAATGACCTGCTCTGCTAACCCAACTTTTCACATCCTTTTATGCAGCACTAACATTTAAATGCTCTTGAAATCATATGAGTGAAGAAATGGCATTTTAATGCTTTCTTAGGAATAGTAAACACTCGCTATTTCAGAGTTTGCTTTTATAATGAGCTAAGGGAGTAAGACATGGTACCAAAATGACAATGCATAAAACTGAGAAGTGCTCAGAGAGGAATGCACGTGGAAAGGGGAGAGAGAAATATGAAAAGGAGCAAACAGTGTGTGCTTTCAACTTCAAACAGTGTGTGCGGGTTTCTATACAACAATGTTTTGCAAAGGGAACTGATGTTATTGCTGTCCGTTGATTTTCAAAAGTGTTAAAACTCTTCTAGGCATTTTTAAGTGTTTCAAAGCCTTCTGTTGAAAAAGGGTGTAGCACCTCACAGAAAGTAGACATTTTGTGTTCTCTCCAAAACTGTTTGTATAGACAGTCACGTTCCTTCAAATGTAGACCAGCATGAATGTGAGCTTCAGAGAGGTCTGAAAATAATTCGTTGCATGAATAATGATCCCATGGACCCATCGAGGCTTGATTGATTTGATTTACTTATTTTTTTATTTCATATGCAACACAAAAGCGAAACACATGCATATTCAGACTAGTTCACACGTTAGCTCAAGACTGCCCTCTGTCTGTGAGAAGAAAAGCTTTTTTTTAGGTCACTGCTTTCTAGCCACTACACTTTTCATAAATAATGTCTCCAGTGTGCTAATTTGTGATACTTTAATGCTGTTTGGTAGGATGTACTGAAATTGCCCTGGCGATGCCACCTGTTAAGTTGTAAAGAGCGACATTGATTATTCAGTGTGTTTTGCAAGATTGTTGCTATTAGGCTAAATGCTAAAGTACATGTTTGTAATTTAATATCATCTCATGACATAAAAATATCTGTAGCTGTAAAGCTAAAGTATGGTGCCCCGAAATAGATGTGTAAATTATAGATTTAGAAATTAGTTATTGTAGAATTCTATATTTTGACTGGCTTTGTGAATTAGGTTTGTCATGTGCTTTGTTTTGTCGTGATATTTTGGATTATGGTGTGTTCAATCCTAAAATTGATACAATACCTTAATTCAATACCTTAAAATTACATTACCTTTTTCAACATTTTAGGTTACAGTGTATATTATGTAAATCATGGTGTGTATTAAATATAGTAAGTGGGCACCACTTGCTTTGATTTGCATTCTTTACTTCCTTTAAATGGTTTTGTGGTGTGATAATACAAAAAAGTACAAATATTCCAGGCTGTACTCACACCCTCAGAAAAGTAAGAAAAAAAATAGGGCCCATTGTACAGTTAATATGAAGGAATTATAAGTAAAGCTTTAAAGGGATGGTTCACCCAGAAATTCAAATTTTGTTTTTACTCACCCTCATGTCATTCCAAATCTGTATGGCTTGCTTTCTTCTGTGCAATGTAAAAGAAGACATTTTGAGAAGTGAATTATTATTATTATTATTGCAATGCAATCAGTGGTCAGCAAAATGGTTTGATTCTCATTATTCTTCTAAATATCTTGTTTTGTGTCAGGTTTGTAATGACATGAGGGTAAGTAAATAATGATAGAATTTTCACTTTTTGGGTGATGCAGGCGTTATATTACCGGACCAAATAAATGAACATGAAATAGTTCCATTAAAACATTACACACTGAATTAATAGTAAGAAATAAACACTCCCACTTCCCAAATTCTAATCTTAAATATCATATTTACTTCCTGATGGGGCTTGATGATCAACTTTTAAAAAATCCTAAAGAAATTAAAATAGATTTTCTTAGTCACTCCAAATTTTTTACATTTGTCATTTTGTGAAAATAAACCTCAACTAGGCAATGTTAGTATATTTAAATATACAGTATATTTAAATATAAATGTACAGTATATTTAAATTATAATTTTATGCATTAGGGTTATATTTACAGATTTTTTTTATAAGTTTACACAGTTTATCTGTTCTTCAAAACCATAGAGACACAGTGATAATCTCAAAGATCAAATAGTATGCCACATAGATACATTTTGTGGCGAAATATTTTTAAAGAATAGTATGTGAAAGTATATAATATTATGCACCGATTTTAAAGAGTAGTAGGCTACACTACATTGATGTCCTAACCATGTGTATACATTTATTTCGATGAGAAATGTCCAGTATGAATGTAAATATTTTGCATTTTGAAATCCAATATTATGTATGTGAAAAACAAAACAAAACAGTTTTGTCAGTATCATTAAGAAGACTTAAGGTGGAGATGTTTCAGTTTATATTACTTCAGTTTCATTCATGGCGGAAATGATGAGTAAATTGCATTGTGGGATACAATATTAATATAGTGTTTGTTGGAATGTTTGAAATTGAATACTTGCTTACTATTTAATGACTACTGCACATTATACACTGTATACTATCTACAGGTTTTAAAAAGAGTAGGTTATTCCTCAGTAAATGGTTTTGGACAGTAGTATACTACTTAGTAATCACATGACCTCACTATAGTTGTCAGATGACCTCATTACATTAACAAGTGGTGTCCAGTTACTTTCTATTCTCATTATACTGTTATACTATACTATACATACTATTCCCATCCTGTTTCTAGAGGGCCACATTTCTGCAGAATTTAGCTCCAGCTTGCTCCACCAAAAAATATTGCTAGCCTACATTAAGTAATCACATGTAAATAAACTAACACACTTCTCTTACTGTTGCTGCAGGACAGCTTACTATTTAATGACTACTGCACATTATACACTGTATACTATCTACAGATTTTTAAAAAGAGTAGGTTATTCCTCAGTAAATGGTTTTGGACAGTAGTATACTACTTAGTAATCACATGACCTCACTATAGTTGTCAGATGACCTCATTACATTAACAAGTGGTGTCCAGTTACTTTCTATTCTCATTATACTGTTATACTATACTATACATACTATTCCCATCCTGTTTCTAGAGGGCCACATTTCTGCAGAATTTAGCTCCAGCTTGCTCCACCAAAAAATATTGCTAGCCTACATTAAGTAATCACATGTAAATAAACTAACACACTTCTCTTACTGTTGCTGCAGGACAGTATAGTACAGGGTTGTACAGTAGTATAGCTGTTAAATAAATTCTTACAATTTCTGAAATACTTTACAGTGCGTTGACAGGACATAATCCATTCTTCTAAAATCACAGTGATACTCTCTGCTGTTGGCTACATGCTGGCAAACAACATCCCATGACCGTGTGGTCCATAAGGGGGAGACAGAAAATGAATACACGTTCTAAAGAAAATGTCAATGAACAAAAGCAACGAAAGGCCACAGACATTCCATAAGATAATGCAAGATTGAAGCACATGCCTGTGGTTATCTATGGTTTATTTGTTGGTCATACTCAACCTATAAACACACAAGGTAATTAACATGCATGCCTAAAGCAATAACAATTTATAACTATATATTTCACATACTTGAAGAAAAATATAGGGAATGTACATGCTGATGTGATCAAAGAATGATCGAGAAGGGGGGGGGGGGGGG